TTCTAACGGGGAGGTTACAAAGAACAGAAGATAGACAAGAAAATTTGGCGCAACAACTTCAAGAGCTGAAGGAAACACAAATTAAGACGGCAGAAAAGGTTGACGCATTGGAAGATAAATTGTGTGATCTGGATGACAGATCAAGACGACTGAACTTAAGGTTCAGAACTATACCAGAAGACATCACAGATGACAAACTTGAAGATTATCTAAAATTATTTTTTAGTTGTTTAGGATTCACCGAACAATTTGATACTAAGATGTCATGCTTCCACCGTCTTTTTCAAAAAAGCAAGAACAGAAATTCCCCAGAGATGTAATCGTGGCATTTGTTTCATTCGATTTTAGGCTTAAACTCTATCAGGCTTCAAGGAATACAGTTATAGGGGAAGACAAATTTAAAGCTATAAAAGTTCAATCAGATGTCTCCCTCCTTACAAGACAACGAAGAAACTTGTTTTCATCAGTCTTTCCCTCCTTAGAGAAACACAATCTCAAATTTAAATGGAATCATCAATCAGCTCTGCAAATTTGTTATAGGGACAGATGGAATACCTTTAGATCAGTAGAGCTTGTTCACGTGTGGTTAAAAGATAACAATTTATAGACCGAAGGTTTTTGGGGGTAAGGGGAAGGGGGGAGTTTTATTAACTATTATTGTAAAAAAAAAAATCCCCCAGCCCCCCAGTATTCACTGTGTGGGGATATATAATGATTATGGCTCAAAGGGATTATGCCCTAAAAATATGGTATAGCTCTATTTAATTATGTATCATAGTAATGAAAGTTTGGCATACTATGTGTTACTCTATAAGAGATACTGATATTCTAAGAATCCGCCTTGGGACAGAGTTTATCACTCATCAAACTTATTCGAATTATTTTGATGTTGTAGTTGTCAAACTAATATCCCTTCTTAAAGGTGAAAGTTTTAATTACTTTAATATATAATAGTACATAAGGGTCAACGTATTTTATAAGAAGTATATAAGAAAGCAAATTCTAAGGTTTTTATGGAAACACTTTGGTACATTGGATATGATATATCATTTTAAAACAAGGGCACGAAAACATATACTTGTAAATCACTTATATTTAGGTATTTATAATTAAATATACAAATTACTAATATTTACTTGATTGCTGTGGTAAAGGATTTGTTTTTCATGTTGTAGGGATATATGTTATTTGATCCACAATATAAGTTAATTAAGGTTTGGAGGCGATTACCCTTTAACAATATGGCATAGCACTTTTTGATTAATTATGTATCACAGTAATGAAAGGCTGGCATAATATGTTTCACTCTATAAGAGACATTGTTAAGTTAAAAATTAGCTTTAAAGGACCACTATAGTGCCAGGAAAACATACTTGTTTTCCTGGCACTATAGTGCCCTGAGGGTGCCCCCACCCTCAGGGACCCCCTCCCGCCCGGCTCTGGAAGGGGAAAGGGGTAAAAACTTACCTTTTTCCAGCGCTGGGCGGAGAGCTCTCCTCCTCCTCTCCGCCTCCGTTACGCCCCGCCGGCTGAATGCGCACGCGCGGCAAGAGCTGCGCGCGCATTCAGCCGGTCTCATAGGAAAGCATTTAGAATGCTTTCCTATGGACGCTGGCGTGCTCTCACTGTGAAAATCACAGTGAGAAGCACGCAAGCGCCTCTAGTGGCTGTCAATGAGACAACCACTAGAGGATTAGGGGGAAGGCTTAACCCATTAATAAACATAGCAGTTTCTCTGAAACTGCTATGTTTATAAAAAAAATGGGTTAACCCTAGAAGGACCTGGCACCCAGACCACTTCATTAAGCTGAAGTGGTCTGGGTGCCTAGAGTGGTCCTTTAAGATCGAGTATATGTCACTAAATTCACTAGTTCGACAACGTCAAAATATTTCTAATCTCCTTCCTTAAAAGTAATTATAACTAGAAATTATCCGGTAGTTATACAAGAGTCGGATTATTATAACTAGAAATTATCCGGTAGTTATACAAGAGTCGGATTACTGGTTTATGAAGTCGAAGTATAAGGTCTTTTTTTGTAACTTCCTAATATTTTAGGATGGATATAACACTATAAATCATTGGTCGTCAACCTGGTCCCTACCGCCCACTAGTGGGCATTTCAGGATTCCAGGTGGGCGGTAGGGATTTTCTCATTTTGAGAGATTGTGCGAGCTGGCGGTACCCCTGCGACCGGGTACCTCCATCACCATTTGCGGACCCGGCCCGCGCAGCAAACTGCCGGGGCAGCATATGGAGGGGTCCATTGGGCCCTGACAGCATGGGCCACCCGATTGATGTGGATTGTAAGGGGGCTTGGTCAGCGCTGGGCGCTTTAATAGAAGGGCCGGGCCCCCTGTGATTACATCCCATAGCTGGGAGGAAGTGACTGCACGTTACTCCTCCCATCTAACACACAGACCGCGCGGAAGGAAGGAGGAGGGAGTCAGAGTGGGAACTCTGACTCCCATCCACCTGAGCCACCACTGGACCCCAGGGAAAGTCACCTGCACCTAAAAGGTAGGAAATAGGAGGGTGACTAAAATATTTTGTGTGTTTGTTTGTGTATGTGTCTTTGTATGTATGTCTTGAGTGTGTCTGTGTATATATATATATATATATATATATATATATATATATGTATGTGTGTCTTATGTATGTGTCTGTCCGTATATATGTGTGTATGTGTCTTTGTATGTATGTCTTATGTGTGTGTCTGTATGTATATATGTGTGCCTGTCTGTTATAGTGGGCTATAGTAAGTAATAGTAAGTGGGATACCTATTTCAGCCTTCCTACTGGGCATTGCTATAAGGAAGGTAAAAAAAAAATTTTTAAAAAAGGAAAAAAAAGGTGGGGAGGGGAAAAGAGGAGGGGAGCTGATGCACAGATGAGAAATCATATTATGCGCAAACAGAGAAATCGTCTGAATATCACCGAAAGAGGAGACCTTCGTTTGTTCCTTACGAAAATCGAACCAGATATCAAATATTTAGTCTTGCGGCATCAACCTCAAGGATCTCATTAATCACTAGTAAAGGTAATTTCAATTTACTTTATTGTTTTCTCATTAAACTTTCTAAAGTTAAAAACACAAACATGCATTAAGTAGAAATAAAAAGATAAATGTACATACATTATTTTTTTATTTTATTTTTTTAAACACCCTCCTTTCTAAAAAATATTCTGCACTTGTGCGAAAACTGGTGGGCGGTAAGGAATTTTTTTCAACCAAAAAGATACATTAGTGGGCGGTAGGTAGAAAAAGGTTGACTACTACTGCTATAAATAATGAACACTTAGACTTTTGTTTTATAAGTTTGCTATATGGAAGTAGTTAACTCAAAAGTAATGAATATTCACTGGATTGATATCGCACAAGATTTGAGATAGGAGATAACAAGAAAATAATGGAAAATTATTTTTTTTAAAACATTTTATTATTTATGTTTCCCTTCTTCCGCTTTCCCACTACTTCTCTCTCTTAGGCCATTCTAATCTCGTTATTCCTCCCTGTGGGTTTCCAAATGGGCACCCAGTACTTGGTTCAGATTTGCTGTTCCAAGTAGGTGATTGTTATGACTGTTTCTATGTTATTATTTGTTATGTGTATATGTATTTATTGGTCATGTATTTGAAATGTATGGTCAGATAGCCCATAAAAAGAAATTAGATATGGTTAGAATGCTATCCTTAAATGCTCAGGGCCTTAATTCATTTGTTAAAAGAGGTTTTTTTGTATGAAACTTTAACTAGGCAAAAAATTCAAGTGGCTTTTATTCAGAAAACGCATTGCACCAGGGAGTCGAAGACTTTGTGGCATTATAAGAAATATTCTCTAATATATTCAGGATAAAAAAAATGCGGGGTTACAGTTTTATTTTCTAAAGAAATCAAATTTGAATGTGTATATAATTTCCTAGACCCTGATGGGAGGTTTATTATATTAGTGGGCCTATTAGATGATATAGAGTATACATTGGTTAATGTCTACTTACCTAACAAAGATCCGATAAAAACGCTAGTTAGAATTTTTTATCTGGTTGGCCAAGTTAAAAAGGGCAGAATTATAATAGCAGGCGATTTTAATTGCATCTTAGATACTCAAATGGATAAACAACTAGCAATTCATCATCAAATAGATAAAGTTTTAAAGAAAATGGCAGCAGCTTTCAATAGAGCCATTAAGAAGGCAGACTTGTATGATTTCTGGAGATTAATACACCCTAATGATAAGAACTATACACATAAATCTATCCCTTATAACTCCTCTGCTAGAATAGATATGTTCTTGGGTAATTTGAGTTTTTCAAGAGCAATCCTAACTATTAGTATAGTAGAAAATACTTGGTCTGATCATGACATGGTTATAACTGAAGTGGTGGATAGACAAAATAAAATACTCCCGAGTTGGAGACTTGCTGACTATCTATTGAAAAATAGAACTAATATTGAATATATAGAGAGATTAATGAAATTATTTGTTTTAGAAAATTCATCTGACGAAATAGCCAAGGAATGCCTGTGGTGCACGTTTAAAGCGGTAACTAGAGTTTATTGGATTCAACTTGCAAGTCAACAGAAATGAAGTAGGGAAAGTGAGCTAGCAGATCTTTATATTAAATTTTATAATCTGTCTAAAGATAATAAACTCAATTACACGGAGGAAAAGGCTCTTGCCATTAAGGACTGTCAGGAAAAGATTAATAAACAGACTAGGATTTCGATAGAAAGAAATCTAAAGAAACTTAATATTAGATACTACTATAAAGGAAACAAAGCAGACTCAATCTTAACGAATAAATTAAATAAACAAGATATAGATCGTAAAATATTTAAACTAAGAGAGGGAGATAATATCTATAAACCGGAAGATATAGCTAATAAATTTAGATCTTTCTATGAGAATTTATAGAATCTAAATGCAACACCGGAGAGAGTTATGATTGAGGATTATTTAAAAAATTCTAATTTGAAAAGAATAAATAAAACTATTACGGCTAAGGAAGTAGATGCTGCAATAAGCAGACTGGAGAGTAGTAAAGCACCAGACCCTGATGGATATCACAATCTATTTTACAAAGGTTTTTTAAAAAGAGGTAACACCTTTATTGGTTGATACATTTAACGAGTTAGCAAATAAGGGGTAAGATTTTACTATATTTATGGAGGCATGAAGGGCCCAGGGGGGCTAGATGGTGGTTTTGACACTATAGGGTCAGGAATACATTTTTGTGTTCCTGACCCTATAGTGATCCTTTAAGCAAAGAAGTTATTATGCTTTTGATTAATGGGTGCCCTCGAAGGCACAGAATAGGGACTAGCACTATGTATGTTTATCTATGCTAGAAAACCTCCTCATGATCAGCTATGGCAGCTTGCCATTAACGTTTCACTCTATATTGCTAGTGATATTATTTTGCCACATTGATACAATCTGTACCGTCACAATTGTATCAAAGACTTAACTGCTGATTATACAGTTGCCAACATGTAATAAACATCATTACAGAAATATAGATCTCGTTCTGAGACAGGTGATGGGTCCATAAAACTGGCACACATTTGATATATAAAATAGTGCATTACCAACCTACTGTGACATTCTTAATTTAGTTAAGTTAAGAGGCTCAACAGCCAAACAACAAGCCTCTTAGAACAGTATAGCAGCTGCAACTACCGGTACTGGAGCTCTATCGGATTTAATAATTCACAATAGTAGCAAAATAAAGTTCTTCATCAAACTGAACAAAAAATTATGATCGTGCTTGCTACTTATAACTCTGTAAACTTTAATTTTAAGAGAGAGCCAAGTAAGGGTTAACTTTTCTTCTATTTAAACAGCGATCCCTGGCTGCAAATTTATTTCTATCACACTCTATTTTCTAAGTAGCAATAGAAGGGTTAATACAAGTCCAACTACCAACAGTGATCTTGGTTGCTTCTTTATATTGCACAAACTATCAGAAGTACATGAAAGTGAAGGATTAACACTAGATTTCACTCTTCTAACAATCCTAGTTGATACTCTATCTAAACAACCATAGTTGTTGATTTTATTATGGTGAAGGTATTGATATATATCAAAGCAAATATTTTAATCATAAATCATTAAAGGTTTAAGTTTTAAAATTCAAATTTTTCTTCCACTGATTCCAATACTAATATTTCTTAACTGGGTACATTTTGCATTTATTCTATGGCTTACACTCTTGTTCTATCTCATTTTAAAATACTGCACTCTGCATTGTACAATCTTAATTACAGTTAAGCTACAGTTTTAAATATTTGGACAGTATATATCTTGCACTTTTTTATTGTTGAACACATGAACATTTGGACATAACATAATAGTATATCTAACCGTTAACCAGGAAGCCATAAACTATGTTAGAACGTCTGAGAAAGCTGCACACAAGATTCTTCCTCTTCATCACTTGCTGTTGCCAAACTATACAAGGCCTGATCCATGGTTTCTTTTCTCTGAGATGAAATTTCTCCAAAGAACAGAGAATGGAACTGGAATCAAAATGTAATTTCAGAATATTAATAACCAGCTACAAATAACCTTGGAATATTCAAAATTGTGCAGTTCGGCTACTGTATTGACTACTTTTTGTGCTATCAAAGGCATTGACTTGCTGTATCTCAAATGTATTATAATGGTCTTGATTACAATATAGCAGAATAACACCTTTACAATGGTGCAGTAATCAATAAAACAGTGGCGTACCTACCATGGTCTGAACCTGAATCATTTGGCACTATTTACTCTTTGGGTGACTTCTTCGACTGACCCTGGTTACATATCTTATACCCCATACCAGACCCCTTTCAAATAAGACTCCTCTCTAGTTTATATTAAACAATACCCTCTTTCACAAGACAAGGAGGCAGGCCCCAGTCATATAAGCTACTGCAGAAAGGAACCAACACACTCACCATTCAATACGCCCGTGGTTCCTAATTCATTTTCCCTGTGGAACTCTTTGACATAGGATACAAACATCGTGGAACCCCCCCACACACACACACAAAAAAAGTGTTTTACACACACTTTTGTTTCCAGATAGTAAACTGGTTGTAGTACTTAGTAGCATTTCCTTTTTGTGTAGTGTTGGTGTTTGTATATAATTTTAGTGTTTTAATATATTGGTGTGTTTGTATATAATGTTTGCATTTGGGTGCATTGGTGTGTTTGGACATAGGCTTTTAAATGCAGATTTACATTTATGTGTAGTATTGGTGTTTGAGCGAAGGGTGTGTTTGTATATAATTTTGGAGTTTGAATTCAGGGGTGTGTTTATAAGTAATGTTTCTGTTTGCAGGGATGTGTTTGCATGTTGTATTGGTGTTTGATTGCTGGGATGTATAGACAGACATACATATACACACACTGACATGCACACACACAGATGCACGAACCTTGACAAATACACAGATGCACACTGGCATGTACACACAAATATACACATTTGCACATACACACCCAGATACACACACTGACACACAGATATACATACTTTGGCACACACACTCTCAGATGCACACACTGTGGCACATAAACACCCAGATGCACACAGTTACACACACACACACAGAAACACACACTGACAAACAGATACACACTCTGGCACATACACACACTGACTCAGATATACACACACTGGCACACAAATACACACACACACACTCAGATAAACACAGTGGCAGATATACACACTTACATACAGATATACACACTCTGGCACACACCCACACTGACAAAGATACACACATTGACACACAGCTATAGACACACTCAGATACACACAGTGACATATACACACAGATACACACTGGCACATACACATACTGACAAATACACATAACTTGATATACACACTCTGGCACACACACACTCACACACACACTTAGATACACAGTGACAAATACACACACACACACGCTGACAGATTGGCACATACACAGGCCATGCTTCTTATATTTAATGATTTTTGTGGTTGGAGGGTTAGTTTTATTTTTTTTAAATATTTTTTATTTTTGTTGTGGAAAGAATAACAGATGAGCTGACAATGCCACAACATCGAGAAGCTCAGTAATGACAAACAGTTTAACAATTCAATGTGGCATGCAGATTGACAGCACAAGTTTATGAATAATGGATGAAATGTAGCAAAGTTGAATATCGCACCTTTTTGATGTTAAACTCATGCAGGCAAAATATGTCAGTAGATTAATTAAAAGACTTGGTAAATAGAGATGTCGCGAACTGCTCGCCGAACTGTTCGCGAACTGTCCGCCGGCGAACAATAGCGTGTTCGCGTTGGGCGAACATATACGATTTCCGGTCCGCCCCCTATTCGTCATCATTGAGTAAACTTTGAACCTCACAGTCAGCAGACACATTCCAGCCAATCAGCAGCAGACCCTCCCTCCCAGGAAGTGTCTGCTGACTGTGAGGTTCCGGGTCAAAGTTTACTCAATGATGACGAATAGGGGGCGGACCGGAAATCGGATATGTTCGCCCAACGCGAACACGCTATTGTTCACCGGCGGACAGTTCGCGAACAGTTCGGCGAGCAGTTCGCAACATCTCTATTGGTAAATAATCAAAACAAGCACTATGTACTGATTATATGATATGACTAGAAGATGTAATGACATGCTTAAAGACATACTAGACATGAATAATGGATGAAATGTAGCAAAGTTGAATATCGCACCTTTTTGATGTTAAACTCATGCAGGCAAAATATGTCAGTAGATTAATTAAGAGACTTGGTAAATAGAGATGTCGCGAACTGCTCGCCGAACTGTTCGCGAACTGTCCGCCGGCGAACAATAGCGTGTTCGCGTTGGGCGAACATATACGATTTCCGGTCCGCCCCCTATTCGTCATCATTGAGTAAACTTTGAACCTCACAGTCAGCAGACACATTCCAGCCAATCAGCAGCAGACCCTCCCTCCCAGGAAGTGTCTGCTGACTGTGAGGTTCCGGGTCAAAGTTTACTCAATGATGACGAATAGGGGGCGGACCGGAAATCGGATATGTTCGCCCAACGCGAACACGCTATTGTTCACCGGCGGACAGTTCGCGAACAGTTCGGCGAGCAGTTCGCAACATCTCTATTGGTAAATAATCAAAACAAGCACTATGTACTGATTATATGATATGACTAGAAGATGTAATGACATGCTTAAAGACATACTAGACTAAGGTGTAGAGAAATGTGACATGCTAGATTCAGATAAATTAAAAACAAAACAAACAGCGACCATAAGGCTCTAGCAATGTGCTTGTCAGATTAATTCCCCAGGAGGCTCTCAGGGTTGTAGGATAATATGGCAGTACCCATGGTATGATTGCAAAGGCATCATAAGACAAGCTAGATTGTTTAGCAATATGACAGGTAACTCCCCCCCAAACTCTGTTAAGATAGAAAGGTAGGTGTTACCTCCGGTAGTTCTCTTTCAGCCAGTCAGGAACCAATTAAAATGTACAGAGATCCATTTCTAACCCCAGCCCGGTTCGCGAGGTCCCTGTATGAAACCAGACTAGGGAAGCGTCTACTTTCGGGATATGAATGCTCCCCCTGGCCGGCGTTCGTCTCTACGAATGCTGGTCACCCAGGGAAGCACTCATTAATTACTTCTCTTGTGGTGTCACAGTTATGTTGCAAGTTGTTCACGTTCTAATTGATTGGTGCGAACATTCCAATGGGTACTGGGTAGGTCCAAGTTTGGAAACTGAATGGGGTGAGAAGCAGTTCACAAATGCTTCACCTGGATGGCGTTCGTCTATACGAACTGGCGGCCACCCAGGAGACAACATGCGCCAAGACTTCCCTTGCAGTTTTGGCATCAGGTATAGGTGAGAACGTTCTAATGAGCGTTCTAAATGGATTTTTGGGGTGGTCCCCTTCAGGAGGCGAATGGATTCCCTTCGTGGAGCACTCCCTAACGAGGAGCAGGCAATTTGCACAAATACACAGGGTAGTACACATAAAGACAGGGGGAATACACGAACAACCGGGGTTCTATCACACAGCTCCTCCTTAACCACTAGCCGCATACACAGTCAGATCCTCAACGGATCGGTTTGTGGATGTCATTGAGAGGGCTCACAGATCACTTCTTCAGTTCTGTCTGTTTTGACAACCCGTCGGTGTTCCCATTTTGCCCACCGGATCGGAAGGGGATGGTGAAGTCATAGCGTTGGAGTGCCAGGCTCCATCGGAACAGCCTGGCATTGTCTCCTGCGACCCTGTGAAGCCAACGGGTTGTGATCTGTGAGCATGGTGAACTGCTGTCCATAGATATTGGGTTGCAGCTTTTTGAGTGCCCACACCACCGCTAGACACTCCTTCTCAATGGCAGCGTAGTTTACCTCCCTGGGTAGTAGCTTCCTGCCGAGGTAAGCTACTGGGTGTTCTCTGCCATCGTCCCCGATCTTGCTCAGCACCGCTTCTAATCCAAACATAGAAGCATCTGTGTGGATGAGAAAACATTTGCGAGGATTAGGAGCAGCCAGGACAGGGGCATTTATCAGGGCGTTCTTCAGGGCTTTGAACGCCTGCTCATACTCCGGGGCCCAGTTTACTTGTCTGGGTAGGTTCTTTCGGACCAGGTCATGAGGGGCTTGGCTATGGCACTGGAACTGGGGACAAATTTTCTGTAGTATCCAGTGGTTCCTATGAAGGCCAGCACTTGGGTCTTAGTGTGGGGATGGGGCCAGTTCGCTACTGCCTCAATCTTGGCTGGCTTGGGTTTCTGCTTCCCACATCCTACCCGGTGGCCCAGGTATTGTACCTCGGCCATCCCTATGTTACATTTACTGGGCTTTAGGGTTAGTCCTGCCTCCCTAATCCGATCTGGTACCACTCCTACATGTGTTAGATGCTCCTCCCAAGTGTCGCTGTATATGGCAATGTTATCCAGATAGGCGCAGACATAATCCTGGAGGCCATCCTTTAGAAAGTGGCCGGGGCGTTCTTCATCCCGAATGGCATTACCTTAAATTGGTACAGGCTAAAGTGGGTGACGAAGGCAGACTTGGGGACAGCATCTACCGCTATGGGAATCTGCCAGTACCCCTTGCATAAGTCTATCGTGGTAAGGTACTAGCCCAGAGCCATCCTGTCTAGGAGCTCGTCAATGCGGGGCATGGGGTAGGCATCGGAGACAGTCTTGTCATTGTGACTCATGTAGTCCACACAGAACCGCGTGGTTCCGTCATGCTTCAGGACCAGGACTACTGGGGATGCCCACCTCCGGTATCCAGCATGGGGTCTGCTTCAGGGGTTGCTGGACGGGGGTCTCTACCCAGTGAGTTTGGCTAGGGGGGTACAGCCTGGCAGGTTTGAGAAGGTCTCCCGCTTTGCAGCCAACAGCTGCCTCGATTGCCGGTCCTCCCGCTCGGTCAGCCAGTCCACCAAGTGGACCTCATCTATGGACCCTGCCTGAGCTCCATGAGGTCAGGCAGGGGAAGATTATCAAAATCTTCCGAGGAGGGCGCACATATAGCAGCAACCTCCTTGGTCCGCTCGTGGTATAGTTTTAGCATGTTAACATGAAACATGTGTCTAGCTCCTGTACTCAAGCAAGGGCCGATCACATAGGTAGTGGCAAACTTCTTGTCCACCACCCAGTATGGGCCCTGCCAGGTGGCCTGCAGCCTATCATGCCAGACTGGTTTTAGCACTAAAACCTTCTGACCGATGTGAAAGCTATGGTCCCTGGCTCCCCTATTCTACCAGGTGCGCTGGCGCCTCTGAACAACCTGGAGGTTCCCACGCACCAGGTGAGTGAGCTCCTCCAGCCGGTCCCTAAACTCCAGCACATATGGGACGATGAGGGTCCCTTCCTGCTCCCCCTTTTCCTCCCAGTGCTCCCTGACCAGGTCTACGGGTCCCATCACCCTCTGTCCGAACATCAGTTCAAACGGGTAGAACCCTGTGGAGTCCTGGGGCACCTCCCAATAAGAGAACAGGAGATGCAGCAAGAATCACTCCCAGTCCTTGCGAGTCGCGGCAAAGGTACTGAGCATCTGCTTCAACGTGCCATTGAAGCGTTCGCACAGGCCATTGGTCTGGGGGTGGTATGGGGAACTCAGGATCGGTTTAATGCTGCTTAACTTCCACAGCTGGTGGGTTACCTCGTCAGTAAACTGGGTGCCCCGATCCGAGACAATCTCCCGGGGTAATCCCATCCGGGAGAACACTCGCATCAGGGCTTCGGCTACAGTCTCTGCCTGAATATTGCTCAGGGCGACTGCCTCAGGGTACCGAGTTGCGTAGTCCACGATGTTCAGAATGTATTTCTACCCAGTGGGACTAGGCTTAGCCAGGGGACCTAAGATATCGACAGCTACTCTGCCGAAGGGGTCTTCAATGATGGGTAGGGATGGAGTGTGCCCTTGTGTTAGTTGCCGCGCTTCCCCACCTTCTGGCAGACATCACCTGACAGTACTGTTTCACGTTCCGGGAGATGCCTGTGTTGGGCATGCGTCAGACCCTGTCCCAAATGCACTGCCAGAGGGATATCGTGAGCTATCTTCAGTAGCTCCTTTCAATACTTCCTGGGTACCACCAACTGTTTGGTGGTAGGAGTGGTTCCTGGCTTTCCTTTTTCTACCAGGCCATACAGTAAACCCTTTTTCTACGTGAACCACTACTTAGACAACCCAGCTCGACTAGTGGCCACCTGATCTCTACAGGACTTAAAGTCGAACACTAACTCCCAAACTCGGCAGGGGTATCCCAGGGTAAGGGTTCAAGGTAGGGGAATGGCCACGGGGAATAGGGTGTGCTCCTGGTACACCTACGGGAGATCAGGGCATGTGGATGGGTGCGTGTGCCTACCTAAGCCTCAGAGTGCGTGCTGTCCTGGGTGGTGTGGGCTTGCTGCCAGGTCATCACTCGATAGGCCTCCACAGGTTCACTGGTTGGGACATGGGTGGAGGTGAGCTGACCCAGGTCGTTGCCCAGCAGCACACTGGCGGGTAGGTTGTTCATGAGCCCGACCTCCACTATCCGCCTCCACAATCGAGATGGACCCGGGCTGTGGACAGGCGATGGACGACTTCCCCTGCCACCTGGACAGCCACTGTCCCTCTGGTCTTGACCTTCTCTGCGATGAGCTGATGCTGCACAGGGTCAGGGTGGCTCCCGAATCTTGTATACCCTGCATGGGGCGTCCATTTAGGTGAACCAGTTGTCGTGATGGTCTAGGTTATCGGAGGCAGCCTGTATGGGGTCTACCTCATGCAGGTCGCTCCAAGCTTCCTCATTGGGATTGGGCCCATGGGTGGGGCTGCCTGATAATAGTGGGCAGTGCCAGGAGGGCTCCTTGGCCAGATCCACGCGGACCGGTCCCTTAGCTGGGGGCACTCCCACTTGTAATGGCACCACTGTTGGCACTGATGACATGGACCGGCTGCCCAGCTTGGCGCTCTTGGAACTGGTGCGGGAGCTGGAGAACCTCAGGGTGGGATAGGTGCAGGGGAGGTAAACTGGGGTGCCAGGCATACTGGAGGTTGGTGGATTGGGGTGGAAACCGGACGCTGGGGTCGCCTGGTATCCAGGTATTCATCTGCTTTTTGTGCTGCTTCAGTTTAAGTCTTAGGCTGTCGGTCTCTTACCCAATCTTGAATCTCTGTGGGTAGCCCATTGTAGAAATGTTCCAGCAGGAACAGCTGCAGCACTTCCTCAGGAGTCTTCGCCTGCTGGGACTGCACCCAGCTTTGGGCTGCCTTGCTCAGGCGGCAAGCCCACTTCGCATGGGAGTCCTGGGCCACCTTCTTCAGTTCCCTGAACTTTCAGCGGTATTCCTTTGGGGTGATGGCATACCTCGTCAACAGGACTTGCTTCACAGCGGCATAGTTCTGCAGATCTTCCTCGGGTACATCAAGGTAAGCATCCGCAGCTTTTCCCGTGAGTTTCCCAGCCAGGAGGGGAACCAAATCGGCTGGGGCAATCTCATGTAGCAGGCAATGGAGCTCAAAGTCATGCAAAAAGTCATCTATACCTTCTTCCGCCTCTGCAAACTTTTTGAAGGCTTGGTAGGGTAGTTTGGGCTTGGGCTCTGGAGCGGCCAGACCACCCGGGACTTCCCCAGCCCGCTAATCGGGGTTGGATGTGGGGTTTGCTCATGCCCTCTGCGCCAAGACATAGGCTTGTGCCTCGGCAAAGATCTGGGTCATGATCTCCGCAGAGGGCCTCTAACCGTAGTATGCCAGGCGACGATCCATTACCTTGTCCAGGGCATCCTTCTCACCCCCCGGTTGCTGTGCAGCAGCCGCGCCACATACTTGGTCATCCTCCATGAGGGCAGCGACCAGGTCTGTCTTGGGTCAGTTGCCGGCTGATTCCCCTCTAGCACCTCCTGCAACATCTGTTGCTTTAACGTGGAGTAGTCCATCAGTCAGTGCTGTTCACGAACACTGGTTCCGCATGACTGGGAAGGAGCATCCCACCGTTGCCATCAAATGTAGCGGACCATGGGTAACCCCGACCGGTTACCCCTGCTAGTTCCGCTAGGATCCTCCATGCCTGGGAGACCAAGTGCGAAAGAGGGTAGTCATTGTCACTTTGTCTCCCAGGCATAGAAAGCCCACCATATAGGGTCTCCTTCCCATGAGCCTCTGTACTTGTAAGTAACAGCGGGGGGAAACTCCCAGCTACAGGAAGCCCACCAAACCCCCCCCCCCCCCCATTGTCCCCAAAGGATGCCCACACCAACCCTAGGGCCCCCACAACGGTACTTGTCGCGACCAACCTTCGTTCACAAGATCCCTGTGTGAAACCAGGCAAGGAAAGCGTCTCCTTTCAGGATCTAAATGTTCACCCTGGCGGGCCACCCAGGGAAGCACTCATTAATTACTTCCCTTGCAGTTTAATCTTTACTTGGTATTAGTAAATTTGTCTGAAAGACCAATTTAGGTCTTTCAGCCTTTTGGTAGATAGCTCCCTAATACCGTGGGAATTATCTATTTATTCATTCCTGTCATTCCATTGACTGGCTAAGTAACTTACATTTTATATGAATGTGTGTTACTTGATTGTTGTAAGTGTTGCAAATGCTTACAGCAGAATCCTGGCTATGTTTGTATACTTTTTATTTAAACTTGTATACAGTGTAACATACTTCATTCTTCCACTCGGTAGGTATATTAGTACTTCGGCAATACTGCGCTTCAGAACTTCAGCAATATCGGATTTTCGAAACTTCGGCAATTCAGCAATTCAGCCATTGGGAAATCTCCGAAATGTCTGAATTGCCCAAAATACGTCCGAATTCACATTCGGAACAAAATGAATTGCACATGTCTAGTTGTTATGTATAAAGATATCACTTAAAAGAACATGCTAATTTAAAAAAAAAATCTCTCTCTATATAAAATCTCGTTAGACATGTTTATATATATATATATATATATATATATATATATATCACTGCAGATTTGGGATTTCTGTGGGAAAAGCAAGTATTATGGCTTGACTGGTGTGCAGATTTTTGTTTAACATTGTATTAACTATCCACAGACTTCAGATGGAAGGGGTTTTCAATCACAATTTTTCCCCACCATAACCTGTTTGGATTTTGCTTCCCAAGCAATTCCAAGCCTCAATAAGCAAACCAGTAACCAACCTCATGCTGATGAGTTGCATTAACAACGAAACAGCTGAGTGGTTCATTGGTTTTGCATCTTTTCCTAAATTGTGTTCCAAGCAATTGTATACTGCAAATACAGATTAAAACGAAACCATGTTTAAAATGGAATGAGGCAAAAATGTGATTCTTTGTTAAACTAATTTGCAATGCCCACCCAGAATCCTTTGCGGTTGTAACATCACTGCAGATTTGGGATTTCTGTGGGAAAAGAAGGTCTTATGGCATGACTGGTGTGCAGATTTTTGTTTAACATTGTATTAACTATATATATATAAAAAAAATAGAAAAAATCTTGCACTCCACCTTTCTCAATCTTCAATGCCCGGTGCTTGTCAGCCAAAACACAAAGAAATTCCAAAGATAGCACTCCAGGGACTTATAAAAATTAACTTTTATTACCTTTTGCTAAAACATCCAAAGTGTCAACGTTTCAGCCTAATCCCCTCAAGCTTTCGTCAGGACATACCATGTGCACAAATATACCCACATTTATAACATAAGCAATAATAATCACTCACCACACTTGTGACACCTCTGACTCCATGGACGACCGGACCGGGACTGCCGCGGGCTGTCCGACGTGCGTCTGCAGCCGCACGGCGTCACGTTCAATGACGCGGCCAAGGGTCATCACCATGGTGACCTATAACAACAACTGTGATGTTACATACTAATCTAATGATAAAAACAATGTATCAACTGTTCCACACTAGCTCCTAGGGATTCTGTGATTCAAATAGTAATACAGCATAGAAAACTGGCAATTTATGATATTAAAAAAACCCTTAGTACACATATTGGACTTAATTACTGAAAAAAAATATCTAAAAGATTAATCATAGCTACCAATGACTCTGAGGTTATGAAAAACAGGCTTGTTAGGCTAGAGAAGTTAGGTATTGTTGTGGTCGTGACTTAAATATGAATATTAATCTCTTAATACATAATAATTAAGCAATACGGAACAACATTAATATTTTTATAATTCATGGTATTATGGTCGAATATGTGGATAGAAAATACACAAAACGTTGTAATATTAAATGTATATTTAATATAACTATAATAAATAAACAGATGCTAGCGGAATGTCAATTTACCACAATAATTATACAATACAATACTACACAAAACGCTATTGGTTGCTAAATATTATACAAAAGGCTATTACAATTGCTAAATGTTACAATGGATTCATATTACTTACAAGGCCCCAGCCAAAGGGCTGGGGCTAAGTCAGAGCTGGTACTACATGATCAGTCAGGTACAGGCAAAAAGAGAGAGAGCTTTCTCCTACATCTGGTTTTTATTCAGTGTAAGTAGGCTGGCCTGTGATGTCACTGCCAGAAGCACATGTCTTCCTACACACTCCCCCTAGTGGTGCCCCCAAAGCATTACACTAAATATGCTTTCTTTATGATGTAAAGTCATTAATTAATAAATACCATTACAGGTATCTAGGCAAGTCTCAACAGGGAGAATATTGTATCAAGGTACATTGAAAAAATAGATTGCTTGCCTAACCAATACTAATGAACATCTCATGTACATAGAAAAACTAGCGCAGTTAGTTATTAATGGAGCATAATATTATACTGAGTAATAGTGCCTCCTATGGTCCCAGTGAAATTGGACCCTCACCAATATTAAACAAGGGGGTCATCCTACATATACTAGAACATGCCACTCCACAAACTCTATACATACAACTCTATATAATTGTAAATATCTAAAGAGGACATCCTTGTGATGAAATGAAGATAATAAAGAAAGATAAGAATGTCTAATGAAGACAAAATCTACCATTGTCACTGTGAGTCAACGAGAGGGTTGCCTATCCCACAGGGTGGGCACCCAATCCTCACCCCAAATCTGTGACATAATGAATGAACAAACATAGTTGCGAAAGAAACATAGAAATGTATGCCTATCCCCCAGGGTGGGCATCACATAGCTCATCTCATTGCCACTACTTAAAAAATAAACATTTATAAGAATGCAGAAAGGGTATATTTCTCATTGAGACCTTCAGGATATACTGTTCTCAACGTTCTGATCCAATAAAGTTCTCGTTGTAGTAACATTTTCTTACGGTCGCCTCCCCTCCTAAGAGGTGGAATATGGTCAATTGCCATGAGTTTTAAAGTCGGAAGCGTATGTCCTTTCTCCAAGAAATGTTTAGCCACAGGCAAGTCCGATTTTTGATCTCTGTACGCCACCCTTATACTAGATCTGTGGTTGCGAATACGTTCGCGCAGGGGCAGATCCGTCTTGCCGATGTACATAAGCCCGCAAGGGCAAGTTAGCTTGTATACTACATAATCAGTAGTGCAAGTTAGTCGATGCCTGATAATGTACTTCTTTCCTGTATGGGGATGGGTAAATGATTTGCCAGATAGCATGTGCCCACAAGTGACACAGCCCAAGCACTTATAGCAACCCAGATTGACAAAACCCTGTTTATCCTCATAGCAGTGTGTAGGGTCCGTCTTTACCAACAAGTCCTTAAGATTCTTGTTTCTCCTATAGCACATCATGGGTGGTTGACGGAATATTTCTGGTAAAGAAGTATCATTTCTCAAAATTCTCCAATTTTTCTCAATCATCTGCTTAAATTGTGGGGATGCTGTAGTGTGCGTGGTCGGAAAGACCAATCTCTTAGTTGATGGAACTTCTAATGTGGCTTGTGTTGAATAGCACTTATCAAGGGCTTTACGTAATACATAGTCACTGTAGCCACGTCGTTGGAACTTCTCCCACATAAGGCCCAATTGTTCTTTGGCCTTACCCGGATCCGAATTGTTCCTCATGACCCTGAGAAATTGAGAGTATGGTAGAGATTGTTTGAGAGCATTGGGGTGGAAACTGTTTGCCTGGAGTAAAGTGTTACGGTCGGTTGGTTTTGTATAAAGCGTGTGCGCCAACTTGTTACCTTCTCGCATGATCCGTACGTCTAGGAAATCCACTGTAAGTGGGTCCACTGTCATGGTTAACTGTACATTCGGTGTACATGAATTAATATATTGGACCATGGATTCCGCAGCACTGTTGTCTCCCTTAATGATCATAAAGATATCATCGATATAGCGACCGTATAATAAAATGATATCTTTAAATGGTTCCAATATGTACTGGGATTCAAATTCAAACATGTATCCATTTGCATACATTGGAGCCATGGCTGCACCCATAGATCTACCTGCTGACTGTCTGTACCAATCCAGTTCAAAACGAAAATAGTTTTGTGTCAAAACCAGTTCCAAAATTTCCATAACGTACTCAATTGGAGGTCCCGTATATTTGTCTGAAGACGTAAGAATCCGTTTCATGGCCTGTACTGCCCCTGTGTGGGGTATGATCGTATATAGACTCTTGACATCACAAGTGACTAGTGGTGTCGACCCAGTCGGTAAGGATAATGTAGAGATCTTTCTGATGAAACTTGGAGTATCCTTAATGTACGTTGGTAGATTTTCAATTGTTTCCTTGAATAGGAAATCCAACCACTTCGCCAGGGGTTCTAAAATGCCCCCCACAGCTGACACAATTGGTCTCCCTGGAGGGTCCTGAAGATTTTTATGGACCTTAGGGAGTGTATAGATCACTGGTGTCCTCGGGTTAGATTGCTGTAAAAATTCCCAGAGGTCATGGTCAATGAAATTCTGTTCCAAGCCCTTTATTAAAATTGCATCTATCAGGAGTTTGACTTGAGGTGTGGGATCACCACTTAATTTCAGATAAGTGTGGAAATCAGATAATTGTTGTATTATTTCCAGTCTGTATTTCACATTTGATTATTTGAAAATTACCCACTCTCATCATTCAAATTGTTCAAAATTGGATTGGGAAATCATTAAGTCCTTGGCCATGGATAAAAACATTGTTATCAGGTCAGCAGACAAGGGTGGGGGGATTGTTATCCAAGACTATGTGAAATACAGACTGGAAATAATACAACAATTATCTGATTTCCACACTTATCTGAAATTAAGTGGTGATCCCACACCTCAAGTCAAACTCCTGATAGATGCAATTTTAATAAAGGGCTTGGAACAGAATTTCATTGACCATGACCTCTGGGAATTTTTACAGCAATCTAACCCGAGGACACCAGTGATCTACACTCCCTAAGGTCCATAAAAATCTTCAGGACCCTCCAGGGAGACCAATTGTGTCAGCTGTGGGGGGCATTTTAGAACCCGTGGCGAAGTGGTTGGATTTCCTATTCAAGGAAACAATTGAAAATCTACCAACGTACATTAAGGATACTCCAAGTTTCATCAGAAAGATCTCTACATTATCCTTACCGACTGGGTCGACACCACTAGTCACTTGTGATGTCAAGAGTCTATATACGATCATACCCCATACAGGGGGAGTACAGGCCATGAAACGGATTCTTACATCCTCAGACAAATATACGGGACCTCCAATTGAGTACGTTACGGAAATTTTGGAACTGGTTTTGACACAAAACTATTTTCGTTTTGAACTGGATTGGTACAGACAGTCAGCAGGTACATCTATGGGTTCAGCCATGGCTCCAATGTATGCAAATGGATACATGTTTGAATTTGAATCCCAGTACATATTGGAACCATTTAAAGATATCATTTTATTATACGGTCGCTATATCGATGATATCTTTATGATCATTAAGGGAGACAACAGTGCTGCGGAATCCATGGTCCAATATATTAATTCATGTACACCGAATGTACAGTTAACCATGACAGTGGACCCACTTACAGTGGATTTCCTAGACGTACGGATCATGCGAGAAGGTAACAAGTTGGCGCACACGCTTTATACAAAACCAACCGACCGTAACACTTTACTCCAGGCAAACAGTTTCCACCCCAATGCTCTCAAACAATCTCTACCATACTCTCAATTTCTCAGGGTCATGAGGAACAATTCGGATCCGGGTAAGGCCAAAGAACAATTGGGCCTTATGTGGGAGAAGTTCCAACGACATGGCTACAGTGACTATGTATTACGTAAAGCCCTTGATAAGTGCTATTCAACACAAGCCACATTAGAAGTTCCATCGACTAAGAGATTGGTCTTTCCGACCACGCACACTACAGCATCCCCACAATTTAAGCAGATGATTGAGAAAAATTGGAGAATTTTGAGAAATGATACTTCTTTACCTGAAATATTCCGTCAACCATCCATGATGTGCTATAGGAGAAACAAGAATCTTAAGGACTTGTTGGTAAAGAAGGACCCTACACACTGCTATGAGGATAAACAGGGTTTTGTCAATCTGGGTTGCTATAAGTGCTTGGGCTGTGTCACTTGTGGGCACATGCTATCTGGCAAATCATTTACCCATCCCCATACAGGAAAGAAGTACATTATCAGGCATCGACTAACTTGCACTACTGATTATGTAGTATACAAGTTAACTTGCCCTTGCGGGCTTATGTACATCGGCAAGACGGATCTGCCCCTGCGCGAACGTATTCGCAACCACAGATCTAGTATAAGGGTGGCGTACAGAGATCAAAAATCGGACTTGCCTGTGGCTAAACATTTCTTGGAGAAAGGACATACGCTTCCGACTTTAAAACTCATGGCAATTGACCATATTCCACCTCTTAGGAGGGGAGGCGACCGTAAGAAAATGTTACTACAACGAGAACTTTATTGGATCAGAACGTTGAGAACAGTATATCCTGAAGGTCTCAATGAGAAATATACCCTTTCTGCATTCTTATAAATGTTTATTTTTTAAGTAGTGGCAATGAGATGAGCTATGTGATGCCCAACCTGGGGGATAGGCATACATTTCTATGTTTCTTTCGCAACTATGTGTGTTCATTCATTATGTCACAGATTTGGGGTGAGGATCGGGTGCCCACCCCGTGGGATAGGCAACCCTCTCGTTGACTCACAGTGACAATGGTAGATTTTGTCTTCATTAGACATTCTTATCTTTCTTTATTATCTTCATTTCATCACAAGGATGTCCTCTTTAGATATTTACAATTATATAGAGTTGTATGTATAGAGTTTGTGGAGTGGCATGTTCTAGTATATGTAGGATGACCCGCTTGTTTAATATTGGTGAGGGTCCAATTTCACTGGGACCATAGGAGAAACTATTACTCAGTATAATATTATGCTCCATTAATAACTAACTGCGCTAGTTTTTCTATGTACATGAGATGTTCATTAGTATTGGTTAGGCAAGCAATCTATTTTTTCAATGTACCTTGATACAATATTCTCCCTGTTGAGACTTGCCTAGATACCTAACTTCTCTAGCCTAACAAGC